CGGGCTCAGTCCCTAGAGGGGGTCCTGCAGGAGGCAGCCAATTGATGTATCTCTCTCATTGACGTTTTCATCTCTCTCCCTCTCCTTCCTCTCTCTCTAAAAAATCAATAAAAAACCTTAAAAGAAACCCAGTTTGGCAGAAAAGAAAACTAGGCACGGGAAAGAATGGAGCATGAAGGAAGAAAAGTGAGCACAAGCCAGATGCAGCAGGGCACCTGTGACTTCCCTTTGGGTTACAAAACTGGCGAGTGCAAGAGAGGGAATCTGACCCCAGGCAGCAAAATGCCACAGAGAGAACCAGGGAACCAGGGGCAGACTTCCCTCTGGAGCAGCGGTTCTCAACCTTGGCTGCACAGTAGAATCACCTGGTAATCTTGTTAAAATCCTGATTTCTGGGCCTCGTTCTCCGGAAATTCTGTTTCTTTGTTACTAATGATGAGGCCCAGAAATCAGGATTTTAACAAGATTCCCAGGTGATTCTACTGTGCAGCCAAGGTTGAGAACCGCTGCTCTAGACGTTCAGCTCTGGGGCCAACATTCACTTTAGCACCTCGTCTGTGTCAGACACCGGATTTCAAAAGCCGTTTCCATCTGTTAAAAGAATAACCTGGTTAATCTGTTACCTATCAGAATCTTAACAAACCCATTTTTACAGCGAGGTAGATTGCCTGCATTCAAAGTCCAAGCATTTAACTGCCTCTACCACGACTCTCGACTGCCTGGTCTCTCCACTGTTCTGACGGGCACTGGGGACATTTGGGTGGATGAGTCATATTATAGTAAATAACCGTGATTGCGGCGTATAAAATACACCATGAGGAACGGCCACAATAAAAATAACGACATCTAACGTGCACCAGACGCTTATCGAGTGCCACACAGAACTTTCTGTTATTATTCCCGTTTTACAGATGGGGAAACTGAGGCCAAAACTTGCCGAGGAACGTGTCCTAGGCGAGGCGAGGACACCAAACCCAACTGTAGAGCCCACGCTACTGTGAACTGCTTCGCCGCCTTACTCTTCTCGCAGGGAAGTTAGGTCGCGGCCAGCGAGGCTCCAGGACCCGACTCCCCCCGCGGGCACCCGCGTCTCCACAGCGCCCGAGGAAGCCTTTCCGCCCCGACTGTGCGGACCTTATTTTGGTCCCGACCCCGACTGCGGCCCCAAAGGGGTCCGGCTGGAGGTGCGCGCAACCACACCAAAGGTTCCCCCGGCGGAAGGTTCCGCAGCCCGAAGCCATCCCCTCCCCGAGTACCTTCGGGAAACGCGTCCAGGGTCCTGCCCCGGGCTCTGTGGAAAACACCTCCCGCCTCCGCTGCGGACATGGCGAGGGAGTTCCTGGTCCCACCTGAGGGCACTGCGTGGGAGGGAGCGGTGCGACTCCTCACTGCCCAACTGCCGGCTGGGCCAG